TCCTTGTTACTAATGGTTATAATTAAATTATTTTTCTTGCATGACAGTGCGGTGTATTTGCACACATGTAGAACACGTTGGTGCGTATACGTGTGAAGTAATTTGCATACGTAACAATTACATATACGTATACCCATACAGTTTAGATATTTTATAGAAACGAACTTTTGTTTTACGTTATTTTAGCGTCATTGTTCGACTGGAATTTTGTTAAGGTCGGTCCTACCACCATCCGGACCGGATCCGGATTTACTAGAACGTGTCTTATCGTAACATATAATATATGGCCCTAGTCAGGGACTAAACAACGGCATCATTTTATCCCGATGTCAATACCCTATTTGAACCGTTCTCCCGCCTTTGGGACCTTATTTCAACCCTTTTACGACATGGTCTATGCAGACTGATTTACATTTTCTTTTTTTTTTGTAAACAGTGGAAATAGCTACAACAGTTAAAATAGTTGTTGGCATAATTTAAATAAATAAATACGTTCGTTGCCGGTTCACCAAGGGCAACGGCACGTTCATATGTTTAAAAACATCTGTATGTTCTGTAATCCATTGCGTTATTCAACTTTCCTTTTTCTCTCATGGCCTCCTGGGACTTTCACTCTTGTGACTGATGACCGCAAGTTTTGCCAGCATGACATAATATCAATAAATAATATGTAACAACAACAAAATAACTAGTAAATTTATTTCAAGTAAAATTTGGAAAGTATACTCGAATTTATATAACAGCGTAGGAGATTATAAACATACACTAGTGGTTATTCAACGGCTTACTACCACGCTACTACAGATAATAATATTTTTAGGCGACTATTATGATAAAAATTAATTAAATAACAGCTTTGTTCATCGCTTATAATTTGCAGCATTATTTAAAGTATACCTCAACACCAAACAAAAATGAAATTAGCGTTACGTAAGCTGATCGAATGCGGCATTGAATTGTTGTATTTCCCTGCGTGATCCTATCAGGACCGGACTGACCTTTCCCTGCACTTTCACATCATACGTTTTTCTCGAAAACGATAGACTTTCGGACTGCAAGCTTGCTACTTATTTCAGAAACACCCCGTATAATATTTTTTGGGACTTCTACAAGTTAAATAAAAAGTGTAGAATTTCTCCACAAAACTACTGGCGTACTAATCCTTAATGATAATTTCCAATCTTATGATAGGAATTTGTAAAGTTGCATACTAGAGATGTACTTGAGTTGTCGCAGTTGACTAGGGGCTCATTAAAAAGCAATGACGTTCGGAAAACTGCCTGAAATGCCATTATTTCTGTACACAACTCAAACGTGTTATTTTTTTTATTATTATTTTTATGAACGACAATAATAATAATTAGCGTTATACTGAAAAGTCATAGATATTATTGTCATACATAAGAAACGTGAAGACATCATCAATTTTCAGTTAAAGAAAGAGAACCATTAAAAAAAATTACTCACACAAATAATGTTATTCAACAAAGTTATTGTTGCGGCTCAAAGGCGTGACCAAATAATGTAAGCATGTAAATAATGCGGCACACACTAATTGGGCCTCTCCGGTGCCTTTTCTATAGTGCGTGTTGAGAAAGAAACGTAGAGGTAATTTAGAATGACATGACCCTTGGCCTTGAATTGCGCTGTAACAAAACTGCGCCTGATTATTAATTTCTACCTCGATCACTTTTTACAATTTATTTGAACATCCACCTCCATGCGTGATTGTATAGATACATAGAATTTCCAAATGTGTAATATGAATGCCTTCATGTTATCTTAAATCGCCTTCACCAAAATTAGTTTGTATGCTCCTCAAATATTTATTGTTAAGGCCAGTTGATGTTCTGACCAGTGAAGCGTTTCCTGTTAGTTGTTAGTGTAGATGTAAAAAACCGCATAGAAATTCCACGATACCAATTCCGACTGCGCCAAGGGCAGAAGATACACATGAACAGAACACCATACTGACGATAAGTGACGTACTTCAATGCTACTACAAGGAGTACCAACCAATTAGAAAAAGAAATTGATTTCCACCTATAATGTTTAATCCTTTGAGAATATTCCTAAAGCTTTTAGAGAAGAAAATTACATTGGGTTTCTAATTAAATTCTAAGGAATGGTGGTTTCGCCATTAACAAAGGAAGCGAACTGAAGGGAGATACATGTTTAGATAAACACATTCGCAAACAAACAAACAGATACGGGACCCAGACTGTAGTTCCGTTGCTACCTAGAAGTAAAATATGCTAATCAATAAATAAATAACACTCTATAATAAAAGTCGTACACGTAAGTTTCCAATAATTTGCATTGTATCAAGGTCTCGTTCTCGTAAATGCATTAGAAAAAATTCACCTTTAATTGCATTGTTGTGTACAGAAATTCTACACCTGTCTCAAATACGTAGAATAGTCGATACAGCAATCCTAATTGAAAATTTACAAAGGAAAGCGAAGAACAAACGTGGTTCTTCTTGGGTCAATTGCCGTTTGAACATTCTCAATTTCAATTAACATTACTGCATCTACCCTTAGGAATGTGCCTAATTTTGGATACTCGAAAACGGTAAAATTTTGTACACAGTATGTCTGTTCAGTGTGCTGACGATGATACATGAAGTCACCCATTGCACCGTCCATATGAGACCTGCATAATCTGCATTGCATACATTGGTTTTTGCTTGATATTTCAACACTCAACTTATTTCTGTATGTCCTGGTAATACATTGCCAACTGAACGCTAACGAGTGCAGATTATTACTAATCGTTACGTACAATTGACTTGTCCACGTATCAGCTGTTGCGAAGGTCGCGAATAGGTACGTGTGTTTCGTTAGTTGACGCTTGCGCTAACAAAAGGCGGTAAGATAACGCAGCTGCAAAATTGTTAACTGTTCTCATTCTCATTGACGGCTCGTTAACTGGGGTACTTTCGTGCTCCCCTGCGTTGGGGTGCTATCACGACGTAGATATATCCAGATTTTACCCTTTTCAACGTAACGTTTATTTTCTTGCACATCCTGTAGAATTATTACAGAAAATGGCTCTAAACAAAATTGCCCATATTTAAGGCGATTGAAATTTATTCATTACTGACGCCGCTTTTCTTGAACTTCTTCGCAAACGCTCTATGAAAATTTTTCTAACTGTGCAGCATCAAAGGCCGAAGAATAAAAGATTAAAGAACCGCCCCAGGGAGCCAATAACAAAAGCGATATTGTGCCTTCGGAACGGAATTTACTTTCTTAATCTTTAACGTAACAGAGTTTCCTTTTGTGCGCTGCAAGAATAAGCGTTCTTCATAATTTAACTTGTGAATAAGGATTTTCCAAGAAACAGAAGCGCATCGCTACCAGGGGGATTTTAAATCGCGGCCAACGTCGATTAATAATAATAATAAGGGCAACAAAAGAACGAATTAAATATGTTCCATAGTCTTCTTATGGAATAAACAAGCGAGTACGATCTTCTTTCGGGGAATGGATTTACGTCTTAATAAATATGGTGGATGCGCCGGGAGAAAAATTACTCCAGAAAAAGTCTGTCAGCGATGAGGTTGACTTAAGCTCCGAGGGTTTCGAATTATTATCACAAAGTCTTCAGTTCGAAGACTGGTACAATCTTTGCATTTCCCGAATATTAGAACATCCCATTCATTTCTCTAACAATGATCTATAGTGCGATCATCAAATAATAGACAGTAATAAATCAAATCGTGCTATGGCGTTGCGGAGAGCCCAAGGCGAAGGGGTGTAAAAATCAGTAGCGGTTCGTTAAACCGAGCATACAACAAATAAATCAATAAGGGATAAGGGATAAATACATTGTTTATTTATTTTTTTCGAAAAACCAAATCCGACGTTTCGCCCATTGTTTGTAGGCTTTTTCAAGGTTATAATACGCCTAATGACAAACGCTTCGTAGTGATAGCAATCTGATACTATTTATTTATAATCTATTACTGTCTATTATTTCATGAATGCACTATAATTAAGATCTTCCGTTTCCCCCATTTACCCCTGATTCAGCTTCAAATATGCTTTTTATTATCCTTTGATGTCTCAAAATATAAAGGTGCCCTACCAGACTACCTCCCTACTACCTCTTTTCCTTATACGTAATTGACCCCCCGAGAGAAATTCATATTATTATTAGGGGTTATTATTTTACGCAATAAAATATTGTTAAGTGCAAGTATAATTTATCAACTACTTGAAGCATGAATATCTCCACTAGAGTCATATATCAGCATCGGCTTGTAAATGATAGCATTTTACATGCACACACACGACTTACCACAACTGTGCTTTAAACGCTTTAAATGACGTAACTTACTAAGCTATTAATTTTCCCGCCTGTCCTAGCCTTATCACGATGCCGCGACTATCGCCGATCGTTAATTTATGACAACATACCAAAAAAGGATATTAGAGAATACCACAAAGGGTGAGAATGTCAAAAGGTCGCACGACCAACCAAGCGTGTAAACGTCTTTGAAATTACCGACCAAAGCTCTCTCATATGCAGTTTCCAATTCAAAATTATTCGTGCGAGCACGTTAAAGAAGCTTTTCATATTAAGTTAAATAAGAAATGAACAGGGCAGCAAGTGGACCGAGCGGTTACGCGATCAGTTACGAAACCGTACAGCGGGGGTTCGATTCCCAGCGCGGCCGCTAAAATAAAAAAGTTTTATCGTATTATAAAATCAACTTCTGAGGAAGCTATAATGGAACACCACATTCTCTTAAAGAATTAGGCTAGAAAAAAGGTTTGGCCATAGAGATAAGCGAACAGTTAAAACAGACAAACCAAAAAGGCTGTCGAAGGGGTTTCAGTCCCCAAGTGACTTAATTTCTGTACTTGAAAATATCAAAACTGATTGTAAAATTAACTAAAATTAGTGGCGCCTTCTATAAAACTAAATCAACTAGAAATTCTCTTTTTGCAAAAGCATACTTAAGTGTAATAAAATAAATCTCCCTGTTTCAGATCCAAAACTAGAACAATCGTTACAGATGAGACTTTCCCAGTTACAAGTGAAGCTCCAATATCTCGAGTCCCTGTACACGTCCCGCCAGGAAGAATTATTACGCCTATCTCAGCACATCGAGTTCCCGAACGAAACTTCCTCGGCAAACCAATTATTTTTAGGCAAGTAATTAATTAGCGTTCGCGTGTTCTGCTAATTTTGCGAAATTGGGCGTCGCCGGCGTCGAGACGTTTGTCATACCCTCTAATAATGTTACACGATTCAATACGTTTCCTCGAAGCAATATTGGCAAATATTGATGACTTGGAACGTAATTGCACACTCCACGACAAGGGGTTTACATTCATTATAAAATAAAGCTTGTGTCTTTCCTTTTATTAAATCAACTGTTAATGTAATATTTTGCTAGATATTGTCGGTTCACTTAGAGAAAGGTACAGCGTGGACGATGCAAACAAGCGAATATCGGTTGTAGGCGGGTCCTTGGAATATTATCGTCAGATGTTTTCGATCAAAACCCAACCGTAAGACGTCGTGTACCTTTCTCTAAGTGAACGGACTCTATCTAGAATATTATCGTACAACACGAGGGTAATATCACAAAATACCAACATGTGATACAAAAAGGGTCTACTAGGACTGTGTTATTTCAATTTTCATTAAACACGTATTCATTCTGCCAAATGAAATTTCCCGGTGCCAGAACTAATTAGCTAAATGTTGTTTAATTACATTAGGAATCGATAAAGTCCTTGATCCTTTTTGCTATGCGTTTATTTCACTTTCAGGACTCGAAACAGCCACAAAACAAACTGGTAAAAACTATACCATGAGTTCGTCCATACTGGGCGAAACTAATCCCAGAGTGATGTTGCGAATGCCCACCATTTACCACTTCCTACCCCATCTACTAAACGATCCCAACAGTCTGAGATTAGCCTACTTGGCTGCCAGGGGCAGAACGGGCGTTTCAATCGTCATGGGCATGCCAACGGTATTGAGACCGCATCAGAATTATTTAATGAACACCCTGTATAGTTTGTTAGAGGGACTGTCGCCCGAAGAAGCCGCTGATGCTGTCATAGTTGTTTTTATCGGGGAGGTAAGCAAAACACAAATATGTAAATAATTAATAAAATACCTGGTAGATAGTTTTTTTTTTTTTTGAAAACGAAAACTCAAAAATTTTTTATCGAAATTTCTCGGGGATTTTGCAGAACCTTCAGTGTTTTTATTGTTTTGCGAAGTTTCGCTTTTGTTATTTGCGGCGGTATACAGAAACAATGGAATACGAAGCCTGCTTGACGTTACGTTACCGAGAGACAAGAACAAATTTAATGGTTGCGTGGGATTGTATGAATGCATTTTAGAAACGTTTGCTATTCGTCATCTGATAAAGTGAAATATTAACCTGATGCCGTGCATTTGTCAGCTGAATGGACTCTAGCACGATATGGAATTGTGATTCCAACATAATAGATGACGGTGTTTGTTTTAGAACCGAATGAAAACGCCGTAAGGAAGATACGTAAATTATTTCATTTTCAAACGTTCTACCGTTTAGGTGCATAGCGTCACCTGAATTGGTCATTTCTGCCCTGAAGAAGTAAACTTCAAAATCGCGAAACGTTGCAACTGAAACCCGAAAGGTCAAGATAATTTGTAAACATAATAGTAAAATGACAACTGACAGAATTTTGATTTGAGACGAGGTGTCATGGTCTAAATGAGCTGTTAGGTCTAGACGTTTTGTCGGGAACTGCGGCCGACATCTTCAGTTGACAACGTAAGCGAAATCTTAAGGACTAGCAACTCATTTAAACGACGATCTTTCAACTAAATTCCACCAAAGCCAACATTCATATAAAATTAAAACTTTATTACACCCCTAATATACGCTACGTCTGATCAGTATTCTGAAATGAGGGTAACATTTGAAGGCACTGTAGAGTAGGGATGTAAAAAGTGTGCTCACAAAATGCCCCTTTTAACGAGCCATTAATGAATGAGAACAGTTACCGCGTTATCTTACCGGCTTTCGACGAAACACACGTACCTATTCGTGACCTTCGCAACAGCTGATACGTAGACAAGTCAATTGTCCGTAACGATTAGTATAGTCGGAGCAGTTGGGGCTTTCGGTAAGGTCACTATCTCATGCTTATGTATATCACCGAGTGTTGCAAGATGGGCCATTCTACTTCTTCTTCATGTTCCTTCTTTTCCCTTAATTTTTCCGGGGTAGTGATCAGACATAGTGTATATTTACGACAAAATTCCTTCCCAATACATATTTGGTATACCAGAAGGGTATCAGTAAATATAGAATTAAATCATGTTTAATTTAGAAGCTACAGAACTCTTGAAAAATCCGTTTATTGTCCCCCGTCACGTCTATTAAAAACAAATGAATATTTGGTTATTATTTGCCCTTTGTTTCAGTTTCGTTTTTGTTTAATGTCTACTAGTTAACTACAATAAATTATTTGAGAGTAACAGGTAAAGATGTGTGTAACACATTCGCATCTACACTTAGAAAAAATCGTTAGGGTTGCTACTAGTAACGAAAATAAAGTATTCCAACAACAACCCTTTTTAAGCGCTTAAATCGTTTGAAATATTCGTTCAAAAGTCTGCTCCATGTCGTGAATGTATTTGTTCGATTGTTAATGTGCCTTTGCTGTTTTTTTCTCTTTTGTTCCATGTATTACACTTTGACAAAAAAAAAGAAAGCACAAAAAAAAGGTTTTGGCATGTTTATTAAAAACACAATTTTAAAAAGCAAAAATAATGTCAGTGATTAAAATATGACATACAAATTTTTTGAAGGGGTATTTGTACTTCGTTAATTAAAGTATTTAATAAATATAAATTAAAATTACCTAAGTGGCGCTTAATTGCGTATTACTGAAGAAACTTTTTGCACCTACAATGTAAATAAGATTATCATAAATAAAATTAAAGCTGGAAAAATTGATTTGGACATTAATTTTGTTGTAGATGATAGTGATTTTAATGGGTTTTTGTGTCTAAAAATAAAAACAATTTCAGTAGTTCTCTTCAACTACATAATACACATTGTGTAGGTAACATAATACGAGTACATGATATTCCAATATGTCACAACCATTTTGAGTTTTCTAAGGAATAATGTCCATGCAAAATGTTAAGTGTCGTGTTTAGCTATTGATTTTCAATTAATTTTGTCCTCTCTTAACAGCGAGGCATTTCCTAATTGATTTCCCTCATTTAAAATTGATTAATTTTAGTCGCAATGATATATAGGCCCTTCTATCCTCGAAATAAACTTTCAATGTCACATATTTTTCATTCCAGACTGATTTGGAAAAGGTCCTTCAGATTGCGAGGGAAGTCGAACAAAGGTAAGGAAATATCGCATTAATTTTGATGCCTAAATCTTTTGATCTCGTTCAACTCGTAAAAATAATTATCATTTTCAATCCCATTGAAAAAATAATTCTTCGGAAATATTGTGTGTAATCAATTAATAAGGTGGCGGCTCTCCAATGAGGACAAGTGATCAATTGCATCCCTTTGATTATTTAAAGAAAACAAACCAAGCGGCGACTAAGTATGAAATTTAAAAATAACTTGCCCGTCGATGAGCAAAGACATGTCCTTGATCTGTTCAGCCCTTAGCATTACATTGATGGTGGCGGACGCTGCATTTCGTGCAACTTCAATGCCGCACAATACCTAACGGTTGAGCAAGTCGTTTTGTTTGCTCACAAGTTGCAATTCGGTTAATTAATGTGTTTTCAAATTGAGTACCCTTTATTTAACGTAAGTCGAACCGCCACTGAATGGATACATACAGTAAAGGACCCAGCTGAATCCTTACAAAAAATGGCCTTCTGTCAAAGTAATTGAAAACTTAGATCCTGTCCGCTAAGTCGTAAAAACTTATCCTTTTAGAAATCCTTACGAAAGAATGCAAATTTAAGCGATCATATCTCAAAAAGATTAATTTTTACGACTATTGAGAATTTTAATAGACACGTCGAGAACATACATAATCCAAAGTTTCATTGACCTTGACAACGGGTCATTTCCCGTCCTTTTAATAATTAGTAATTTTCTTATCAAGATCTTTTTTGATATGTTTCAACACAAAACAAATGTTACAGTTTTCCATCTCAAATTGAATCTGGCCTAATAGAATTGATAGCGCCGTCTCCGTCGTATTACCCAGATTTGGACAAACTTCCATTGTCTTTGGGAGATCCCTTAGAACGTGTCAAATGGCGCTCGAAGCAAAATTTAGACTATGCCTATTTGATGACCTACTGTCAAAACAAAGGGACCTTCTATTTGCAACTTGAAGACGACATTCTCACTAAGCCGCACTATTTTACAAAAATGAAAACTTTTGCCATTGAAAAAATGGACAGGAAGGAACCGTGGTTCCTGCTGGACTTCTGCCAGCTCGGTTTTATCGGTAAGTTAACAATTTTTCAATTGCTAAAGCAAGTCTAAGTAAGTGTTCATTAAAATTTATTAAAATGTAGATTTTGTTAATGGAAATGTAAATTGCGAAACTGAAATTCTCATATTTACATAATTCGATGCGATTATGTGCATCATAACTCTCAGGAAACCGTATAAAAAGTGAGACTCCAATCCTTGGCAATTTTAAACTAAAAACTTTTAATAACAAAGTGAATTTTTATGTACCCACCTACATATACATTTTCGGTATTTAAAAAAAAAAGCGAAACACACGTACCTATTCCTGACCTTCGCAACAGCTGATACGTAGACAAGTCAATTGTAATTAATTTTAAACTAAAAACCTTTAATAACAAAGTAAATTTGTATGTACCTACATACATACACATTTTTGGTATTTAAAAAAAACGAAACACACGTACCTATTCCTGACCTTCGCAACAGCTGATACGTAGACAAGTAAATTGTGATTAATTTTAAACTAAAAACCTTTAATAACAAAGTAAATTTGTATGTACCTACATACATACACATTTTTGGTATTTAAAAAAAACGAAACACACGTACCTATTCCTGACCTTCGCAACAGCTGATACGTAGACAAGTAAATTGTGATTAATTTTAAACTAAAAACCTTTAATAACAAAGTAAATTTGTATGTACCTACATACATACACATTTTTGGTATTTAAAAAAAACGAAACACACGTACCTATTCCTGACCTTCGCAACAGCTGATACGTAGACAAGTAAATTGTGATTAATTTTAAACTAAAAACCTTTAATAACAAAGTAAATTTGTATGTACCTACATACATACACATTTTTGGTATTTAAAAAAAAACGAAACACACGTGCCTATTCCTGACCTTCGCAGCAGCTGATACGTAGACGAGTCAATTGTAATTAATTTTGAACTAAAAACTTTTAATAACACAGTAAATTTTTATGTATCTACGTATGTATACATTTTTTCTATTTAAAAAAAAACGAAACACACGTACCTATTCCTGACCTTCGTAACAGCTGATACGTAGACAAGTTTATTGTAATTAATTTTAAACTAAAACCTTTAATAACAAAGTAAATTGTTGCGATAGGAAATATAAATAACGTTTTCCAATAATTGTTTCAGGTAAAATGCTTAGAAGTTCAGATTTGCCCTGGTTGATACACTTTTTACAAATGTTTTACAGTGACAAACCGGTGGACTGGCTTCTAGAAGACTATTTTTCTATGAAGTCGTGTGTGCGGGCTACTTCGGTAAGTTGCAATCGATTTTGATATAAAATTCATTCAGAGATAAGTATTGAAAATTAATCCTAATCATTCTTAAACGCTGCTCTAATTGTGTGTGTGATATTCTTTCTATATAATTGATCGTGCTGTTAGTTGTTAATGAAAATTTACCCAGTACAGTAATTTTTATCGCGAAGAGTTCTCATCTTGTCTATTTCTCCCTCTCATCTCTTTAAAATTCCTGCTGAAGCGCGTTATTAGTGTTACGTCAAAAGATTTAATTTGATAATAAAATATTGTGGACGTGGCACACGCGGAGCCCAGCCGTAGAATTTGGAGTGCTCTTTGCTATAATTATGTTTTAATTGCTGCAGGAGTCTTGTAATGCGGTACGCAAAAAGAAGTGGATACATTACAAACCCTCTCTGTTCCAACACATGGGAGAGCACTCGTCCCTGAAAGGGAAAATTCAAAAACTCAAGGTAAGTTTTTATGTTAGAAAGATGGTGTGAAAGACTGTGCTCGTGTTACGTTTAATGATGGATGTTTAAGGTTTCCACTCAAATTCATCAATACCTACAAATAGTGTTGCCCAAACGCAAGAACAAGACGAGACTTAGCCAGTCTTGGTCTTGGTCTTGCGCCAATACACCTGGTCTTGGTCTTGGTCTTGGTCTTGCGCTCCCAGTCTTGGTCTTGGTCTTGGTCTTGCAGCAAGAGTCTTGCAAGTCTTGCAATTACCTATTAATCTATTACTATTTATTAAAGTTTACTTTAAATCCTAGAAAAACGTATTAGAATTGGAACATTGTGAGCTTGAATGAATATAGCCATAGTAAAGATCAAGCAGATTAATAAATAACTGAAGATTTGATAAGAAATTCGAAAAATCAACTGACCTATATGTCGTTTTCCATGGAAGTAACTGTTTCTTAATAAACATTTATGATCCTTGCTTTCTACCGCGCCGCCTCGCCACGTGCCGGCTCTATGATAAGGATGCCGCCGCAAATCAAACAATAATATAAAGCGTGTAAAAAAATTCGAAATTATTTTGCATGAGTATACCTACACCCTATGGCGGCAATCAAATAGTGTCAAATGATTTCGGCGTGGCGGCAACGATTGTTTTAGATTTCAAAAGAAGCCGCCGGCGCGTGTATCATAACCATGTACTTCCGAAAAGCGGCAAATTTCTTTGAGAAGTAAGTACAAAACCTTTGATGCCGCATTATCAAAGTGCCGATGGTTAAAACATAACTATGCATGCACTCAGTTTGATTTTAATAATTTTTTTATTCGCTATGTTTATGGTATTAGTCGTAATGCGCATAGGTCCAGTTTTTCATATTCTTTGATACAGTTTTTTGCGTCTCATAGAATTCCTAAGCGTACCTACCTATACACCGAACTGTTACACCTAACTACTCAGTGAAATAGCGCTAAGTCCTAGCTGCAAGACGCAAGAGTCTTGCAGGCTATGTCTTGTTCTTGCTCAAGTCTTGCACGGTCAGTCTTGGTCTTGGTCTTGCTAAAAATACGCGGTCTTGTTCTTGGTCTTGGTCTTGCAAAAACGCAAGAACAAGACCAAGACTGCAAGACCAAGACTGAATTTGGGCAACACTACCTACAAATAATAACCCTTAAAATTTATTTAAATTGGGATGTCGAGCTATTTACTAAAAGATAGAAAGTGATTTTGAACAAATTATCATTGATGTGGTCAATCATTTGCACTAATTTCATTAAATTATTAGTCCAGAATATTAGTTTCGCCTAATTTTGGAACTGTATGAATTATACTTCGTTTAGTTTCTGTAGCGATGTGACCTTCAGTTTGACCGGCGCAATGTAGAAAAGAACAGCACTAGGCCAGAAAAGGAAGGAGACAACTCTCTTAACCCGTGAGGAGCGTATAATATGTACAGTACTGCACAGAAAAATTGACCATTTTATCCACTACAATTTGTATTTCTCAAATGTGCTGTTATTGGTACCATTTACTACTGAAAATATCAACGAGATGTTTATTTATATTTGAAGACATATTAAAGGCTTTAACTCTTGTTTTCGACTCGCACTACTATTCATGATTGAACAAAACCTTTGGCAGGGTACTGTATGAGAAAAGAATGTTTAATGAACAAGAGTCGAGAGTATAATGAGCTTTTTTCTCCCTACCTACGATTTTGCCAGCGCGCATCCAAGACATTGGAAGAGGCACATCGCTAGAGAAAGTAAATGAAGTATATCATCGACGACCACATGAAACTAATTTTTCTAATAGTTGAGAACAGTGTTTCTTTCGTGGATGAAAAGTGCCATATGCCTTTTTTACTACCCCTGACAATGTGTGTACAAAGTTTTATGATAATCGGTTAAGTAGTTAAGACACAACGAATTTTTTCCAATAACGTTTTGCAATTTTATTTACCTTGTAGTGATAAATTTCAGACATAAAATTTGTACATAGTTTTAATTAGTTTTTGTGTTTCACCCTGATAATCAACTTTATCCCACTAAGCCGTCTGACAATCAAAAATGATTAATTGGTCTAATCATTTATTCATGTTCAATTAGGTATTTCAAAGCAGATGCGGCAAATTTGCTTGACGCGAACCAAATTAAACAAATTGAGCGCTCATAATTGACCCACATTACAAAACGAATAAAAATTAATGATTTAAAATAATTTTATTCATTAGAAAATTTGTTTGAATGCCTCATTTATCAATTATTATTTAGTGAACTGCATAGTAATTTACTAAACGGTAATGGTTGATGACAAAAATAAGTAAATTAGAAACCCATATGAACATTGTAGATTTGTTAAAAAATATGGAAGATAAAATAAGCTAAATGGTAAAATTAAACGACAAAAAAGTAGGGATTGATTCAGAAGAAATCAAACTTTGTTAATTAAATATAATTATTGATATGTAGAAAATCGTTATCGATTCTATTTACCTAACACCTTGTGGGATAATCTTAAGGCCTGTACGAGGAGTAAATGTAATACAAATAGTTCGAGATAATGAAGAAGTTACAATCTCAATTTTCTTTCTTTTTCCTGTAAATTGCTTAAAAGACGTAAGGAAACTGTGGTCAATTATTATCTTCTTAGTTCAATTTAATAGAGGATTTGAAAAATATTTAAAACCTACACTTAAGGGTAAGGAAAGGTAATAATTTATTATATATAAGCGTTGTCGTGAATTACCCCACTGTACCCTAGTTAAAATTTACTGTTACTATATCTACATGTGTCCTTTTTTAATCAATTCTTTATCACTTGCTTGTTGTATTGTAGCTTCTTCAAACAATTGCTTAGTTCTTTCCACATTAAATAACCGCAATGCAAAAAACAAATGATACAAAAAGACCCAATGTGAATGTCGTTTGCCTGTCGATTGTTTTGATAACTTCGACTTATCGACATCCTTAAAAATTAATTTCTAGGATAAACAATTCGGAAAAGTAGCCCTGTTCTTTCCTCACAGCAATCCGAAAGCCAAAGTCTCGTCGACAATCAAACACTACAAAGACTACACCCTCGACAGGGCATATCTTGGAAAAACGTTCTTCTGGGGCTTGCTGCCGCAGTCCGGAGACAAAATTATATTCGAGTTTTCCCAGCCGATTGTCGTTAAGAAGTAAGTCAAATCAATTCGGCAAGTCTCATCTTAAAGACTAGTCCTTTGTCTTAAAACAGCTAAACCTTTTGTACTAATATGTGGGTTATATTATCAAGATTGATATTACAAGTAATTAATTTCCTTTAGGTTTTATTTCCGAAGCGGGAATGCCGAGCACATTACTGATAAACTATACAACACAACTGTTGAAGTTTTACCAGTGGATCCAATAGTTCAAGGGTCTGCATGGAATGTTACGTCGGATGGATATATTATTGTTGGTAATAAATACATTTTATTTAAACAAATAGCATTAGAGATAGCTTTAAATAAAATGGAAGCGGTATTGACAAAACAGTATTGTGTGAAAATAAATAATAGTAAAACAAAAATATTCGTATACAGGGGAAGAAAAAGTAGGGAAAGAGCGAATATAAAGATAGGAGACGAAAAATTAGAAGTTGCTGATTTTAGGTATCTAGAAAGTCAGATAAGTCAGGACGGAAGGAGTAGTAGGGATATAAAGCAGAGAAGTCACTTCTATGCTTGCGAACGATTAATTTAGAAATTGGAAAAAGATTGTTAAAGGTGAATGTTTGGAGCGCGGCGCTGTACGGGTGTGAAACATAGACGGTGGCTGCGGCGGAAAAGAAAAGTTTAGAAGCGTTCGAAATGTGGTGTTATAGGCGAATGATGAGGATACCGTGGATAGAGAAGGTTAGAAATGAAGAGGTATTAGAAAGAATAGGAGAATAGAGGACTCTATAGAAGTCAATAATAAATAGGCGAGATAGGTTGGTAGGACACATTCTCAGGCATGAAGGTCTAGTTAGAGACATATTAGAGACAAAAACGAGAATCAGGAGGGGTAGAGGTAGACCTACCTGTTCGCAAATACTTAAGTATGTGGGATGTCCTAGTTTTTGGGAAATGCGAAGATTAGCTCAGGATACGAAAGAGTGGAGGTGCGTGTCCAACCAGTCAGTCTTAGGACTGACGACTTTATAATGATGAAACATAAACTTAAACGTACTATTCTAATTGGAAGTATCATATAGGCCAAATATTTTACGACGTCTTTTACTTTCATAGGTAAATTCGACCTGTTTGGAATGGCTGAAGGAATTTTAAACGAAACCATTTCCAAAATATCAGTCTTGAGGTTACATGTTCATTCAGAAAGTGAAAACTGGACAATCCTGAGTGAGGTAAATAACTTATCTATATCTACTTGATATGATGTAATTCTAATTTATTGTTTCTATTTCAGATCAATATAATTGTAACTGAAGAAAGTAGGTGACGAGAAAGCGATGGGAAGCTTTTGATCAAAAAGCACACCATTTTCAACCATATGAAATAACTAAATGCTGTGATATAATTGTGTAACGTTTGTACATTAATAAAATTACTCCTTTTTTATTTTTGTTGTTATTAAAATTATTTCTAAACAAATACGTGTATTTTATTTATCACCATTTACAACATTTTGTAACTTTGTATAAAATTAAACAAAGAATAACAATAAAATAAGAAAAACCAGAAACATAATTGAAGATGAAGTACTTATCGGGTTAGGTTGGGTTTACGTAAGGTTAGGCTGGGTACCACGGTTTATTAACCCGGAAAGTACTTTTACCCTGAAAACCCTCAAGAAATGACATAATTAAATATATGTACACAACAAGGTAAGTGCTTATTGCATATATTTTTTTTAATGGAATTCAAACTAAAATATTTTTTTTTGTTCTCTAGTAAGTGTTTATATTAAATTAGTAGTAGTAAAGTAAATAGTAATTGATTATCAACAGTAATTCTTCACTTTTGCAATAAATAATCTTCGCAATCTATCATTTTACTTGATTAGATTAAACACTTAAGACGATTAATCCCGTTAATCCGCAGCAAATAAAACCAGGGCTGCCAAACTGCCAACATAAAAATAATGAATGTTATAGCTACATATGTGCATTCAGACGCGACCTTATAAATCTGTAACTATGTCATTTATATGATAAGATATTATAAGAATGATAATCTTGGATTTATTTAAAGAAAAAAAGTTAAGCCTGGTTTAATCCCTTGCATTGTAATAATACCACTACCGTCTAAAGAAAAAAACGTTGAAACTTATACAGAGTGTTTTTACCCATCATTACCCTACTAAAACACAAATCGTCACATAAAAAGTTTAATTAATTTCGAAATAAAAGTTGAAAAAACTCAAGACGTACAACAAAATCTTAAATAAATAAAAAAAAACATAGAAAGGTACGAAATAATTAATAAAATATTTTAACACTAGGAAATACTTAGATACCTGCCTACTCTTAATAAAATAAAATACTCCTGTTAGTCTTAAGTCCTTCTGATAGAGTTTTCGTAGAATATAAACCAGTTGAAACGTTTTTGTATTTTCTTTATCGTTTTTACTTTATTACTAAAAAATATGTTTAATAAATAAATAACGCATTGTTGTAAGTTGAACTGTAGAGGTGTAACAATATCCCCATTGCTATTTTTGGTAAATTAAAATGTATGTCTTGAAATATCAGAGGAAAAGGACACTTAGTACAAACATATTTATCGCTAATGTTCATTATCATTTTTAATTGACGGCATGTCTAAGTCTATCTATTCAACGAAAAATTCCAAAGGATTAAACACACATTATATATAAGGGTAAGATAATCTAAGTACCAGTTTCCGTCAGTACATCAACCATCAAAAATGTTAAAGTCAATGATTATTGTTTTTTGTTTGTGTGCACTGTTTTCAACCACCCTAGGATACGTCAACTACGACGATTATAATGTTTATAGAATTTATCTAGACAACGAAAAGAAAATTGATGCCTATAGCGAGATAGAAGACCTACTCAAAAATGTAACGTATAATAAGTTGTTGTCAAATGACATACTCATACGTATAACTCTTAAAATTTGAAAATATCATTTTTAGTTGAACGTTTTTGGAGAGAATGGTCTTCAAAAATCCGTAGACGTAATGGTGGGTCCTACTGATCAAAAACAATTCCTGAATCTGCTGGAGGCTAACAAAATAGATCACCAGATTTTTATTGAAAATGTCGGAAAGTAAGTTAAAAAAATAGACAATCATGTATTTAATAAATATACGTGCGGTTTCTGAAATAAGTAGTAAGCTTCAAAAGGTGTTAATCAGATGTAATAGGGGATCGCATAGTAAGTAAAGCAGCGTAGTTAACGGAGAAAACAATTGCAAAAAGAACAGACGAAGTTACAATCCGAAGCCGGCCCTGGCCGTGAACTGACAACGTATGGAGAAATATCGATAACAACTAAACAACTACAGTTAGAACGTCCAAAATTGGCATAGTCCGCAACAAAACTGTCGCAGAAAGGAGATGTCAGATAGTAATTGCAGCGAACAGACGAAGTTTCAATCCGAAGCCGGCCCTGGGCGTGAACTGACAACGTATGGAGAAATATCGATAACAACTAAACAACTACAGTTAGAACGTCCAAAATTGGCATAGTCCGTAACAAAACTGTCGCAAAAAGGAGATGTCAGATAGTAATTGCAGCGAACAGACGAAGTTTCAATCCGAAGCCGGCCCTGGACGTGAACTGACAACGTATGGAGAAATATCGATAACAACTAAACAACTACAGTTAGAACGTTCAAAATTGGCATAGTCCGCAACAAAACTGTCGCAGAAAGGAGATGTCAGATAGGAATTGCAGCGAACACTAATAAAGAAGAAGGAATAACATTACACCAATTGATGTGTAACATAAAGAGATACAGGCAACAAGAATTTGATCATGTTGCCATCATCGGACTTTAAAGAAAGTTCAACATTCTCTGGAATTTAGGAAAGCAAAGACGTTTGTTTAAAGATATAATTCCAACCAGGCAGTTATAAAGCCGACCCTGATCTTTTGCGTACCTAAACAACTTCCAACCGCTACAGCGCTTACTATTATTTGGTTATCTAAAGTCTTCACTTTCGTATTTTATTTGCCCAAAAAACAAAAGTTACAATTTCACAAAATTTGTGCAAATAATGTATTGAGCGACAATCTTTCTTCTCAATTAAATTTATTTAAAATTAATTCAAACGGCCCAAATTTATAATATGGTTAATTTTTTTCTTAGTTTGATTGAAGACCCAGTTCGTTATTCCACAAGAAGTGGCGAGTCCTTTAACTGGACGACTTATCACAATTACGATGTGGTAAATATGATGTACATACATATAAATGACTAATATACCCTTGTATATACAAAGAAAGCCAGCAACTTAAAAAAACGTTTTCAGATAAACTCTTGGCTTGATTCTTTGGCAGTCGCGTATCCAGGAGTTGTAACAGTTTTCACAGCGGGTTACTCTCACTTAGGGGCTGAAATAAAAGCAGTTAGAGTTGCCTTTAATTCGTCAGCAACAAAGGTAGCCGTAATTGAAGGAGGTAAGAACTGTATAAAGATAATAACCGTTCGCGTATGTAAATTCGATAAACGAATGAAACAAAAGTGTGTTGCTTGACTCTGCTCGATGCCGCAAGTGCTGCTGGGTACTTCAATATGGCGGACCTTTGACGCCATGTTACAGATCGAGAAATAAAAGAATAAAAAACTATCTTCCGGGCAGAATATCAAAAAATTATGTTCACAATTTAATAATATCAACTTATAGGCGTGCACGCAAGGGAGTGGATTGGTCCAGCGACAGTGACGTACATATTAAACGAATTTTTGACCAGTAACGACTCGTCCATAAGGGCAACCGCTGAAAGTCTCATTTGGTACTTCCTTCCCATGTGCAATCCCGACGGTTACAACAGGACCTTCACTGTAGTAAGTTGTATAGACATATACAAAATCAGACAATGAACAATAATACATATAAACAGTAATAATGTTAATAAAAACAAAACAGGACAGAATGCATCGGAAAAACGTGCAAGTGGTTGAGGGCTCAAATTGTACCGGATACTCTGGGGGTAATGGAATTGGTACAGATCTAAACAGAAACTTTGGATTTAATTGGATGAGTGGTGGTTCCTCGTCTAATCCTTGCTCTGTAACCTACGCAGGACCTGCGGCCTTCAGCTCTCCGGAATCTAGAGCCTTGAGAAATGTTGTGGATCAAGTTGCCGATGACCTAGTCCTATTTTTAAGCTTCCATTCTTACTCTCAGCTCATCCTGTTACCTTACGGTCATACTGCCTCACCGTTAGACAATTATTACGAACAGGTAAGTACCAAACCAAAAGAACCATCACTTTGCTGAATATTTTTTCTTTAAATTCTCTGAAGCTTTCTGACATGAACATTGTGGAAAACAAAAATTAAATATTCTTAACTCTTAAAATCTTTTAAGAAAACCTTCGAGTATGGAAGGAAAATCTAAAAGGGATTAAACTTAATCTTTTTCGGATCTCTAGATTATCCGCTGGCAAGCATACAAGTGACTTCCCGACCATCCGACCCTGGGCTATACTTTGTGTTGTGTCTCCTTCCGTCTGAAATTACCTAACTTCCTAAATCTAATCTAATCTCTTCTAAATTTTTATCTGCTATCTTTGGTTCTTCGCTAGTTCCCTACTTTTTCTTCCCTTGCATCCTAGTATTTTAGATTTACTTATATTTATTTTCATACAATACTGTTTTGTCAATACCGCTTCCATTTTATTTAAGGCTATCTGTAAGTCCTTGCATATATATCTCTTACCCTATCAGATTCTCGTCAAATTTTACTAAATCATTAACATAATTTCCATAAAAAATATTATAGCGTTATAAACAATTCTTTAAATTTCTTCAGTACTCTGTTGCAAGAATGGCTGCCGACGCTTTGGAAGCTTACAACGGTACGAGATACACCGTTGGAAATACAGCTGAAATACTTTGTACGTAGGACAAACACAACAAACGATTATTCACATACTCAAACAACACCACAACAACTCTTAATATTGATTTATTTTTTGGCAGATATTGCATCTGGTTCAAGCACGGATTGGGTCAAAGGAACATATGGGCCAAGGATAGTCTACTGTTTCGAACTCAGAGATAGTGGTCAATATGGATTTTTGCTACCTGCCGATCAAATAATCGATACAAGCGAAGAAACCATTTTGTCTCTTGTTACTCTGGTGGAACAAATGTTTAGATTAGACACATTAGCACCTGCCAATCCTAGTAACGGAACTACAGGGTCTGATGCTACTAAAAATAGTTATACCATTTCTTTAACAACTGCTTGTTCATTACTTATTTATCTTGTAAGAAATTATCTTGTCAGTTAGAAAACTATCACCTCATGTATTAAATGAAATCTTCAAACTATTATTAAATGTTTAGAATAAACTGTAATTAACTAAATATATTTTTTAGATACATAAGTGTATGCAAATGTTTCATTCAATATGTAAAAAAAAAAAAACAAATAAATCCAAAACGAATTTTTTATTTAAAAATATGAAAATTTCATATGAGTTACCTAACAAAAACTTAATAAGTTTTTCACCTTGAAAATGTGATTGTAGATAACATAGAAAAAATTGATATGAAGTGCTTCTTTTAATTCTCCTAGATTAATTACTGATAAACAATACTTAGATTATCGTTTATAATCGATCTTTTTTCTATTCAATTATTATCTGTTGTACTTAAAATTAGTGTCTGCATTGTTAGTGAAGGAGTCAAGGTAGACAATCAAGTTATTCTTTTGATGTCGTGGAGCACCATGAGGTTCTTGTTTGTTTTAAGCGTTCTAATTGTTATTAACGTAGTTTTATCTCACGAGGTCAATTATGAAAATTACAAAGTTTACAAAGTGTACATTGAAGACGATGCAGCAAGGGACAACTTTTTAACAATACAAAAACAAATTCCAGACGTAAGTGTTAATTATTTATTACAATATACTTATGTCGATTTTCATATTTTCTAAAAGAAATAAAATAAAACGAAAAAAGCAAGTCTTAATCATGCAGGAAACTGTCCTACCTACATTAAATTAAATTGATTTGTTACTAATTACAAGAAAACATAAATTTCCAATTTTAATGAATATATAAATATGGTCTGTTATTTTTGTGTTGTAAAACCTAATAAAATTAATTTATTCATCTTAATATCAATCACGCGATGATGTTATTTTCTTTTCTATTATTATTTTAACTAAAACTGCTATTTATTAGGTAATTGATCGTTTACTAATATCTACACAAAATATTTAAATTCATGCCCGAATATTTTTTTAATAACGTTAAAAGTAAAACTGCAACGATGTATTAATTATTTAGGTAATTAGAAAAAAATTATAAAATCATCCAAATATTACTAAGCACTTAGACATTATCTTGTAATGAGATTATAATTTTAATTTCTTAAATTACTACGCACACAGAAAGATAACAATTTGATTAGATTATTTTGATTAATATAAGGTCCCTTTGGGGACAAGTTACAAATTACGTAACGCTAATTGGGGTAAGGGGGGGGGGTTAGCTGGACTTTATGGTCCTGTTACACGGGGATCTGAAGGGGTTAATATTTACATAATGTAACGATTTTCGAATTTTTATTAATTGATAAGGCAGAACAGGGAAAATACGAAATTAAAAAAAAAAGACAGACAAACACGCGAGTGATCCTGTTAGGGTTCCGTTTTTCATTCGGACTTACGGAACCCTAAAAACAAGCAGTACCCTAGAAAATAAATTAATTTTGTTTAATTTTATACACAGTTGGATATATGGGGAGAAAACCGTGATACCCGTTCCCTTGACGTCATGGTTAGTCCTACAAAAGAAGTCGAATTTACGGGGCTTCTCAGAAAATACGGAATATCCCAAGAAATAACTACAAATAACGTGGAAGGGTAATAAGCGAACTATAAATTTATTTATATTTTATATTTACATTATTTATTTATAACGTTCGCATTTATATGTTTAATTTTACTATTGACTTTGACTTTGACTTTGACTTTCACTGACAGAAATACTAGTATGCAAGGGAAGAAAACGTAGGGAAAGAGCGATTATAAAGATAGGAGACGAAAAAGTGGCTGATTTTAGGTGTCTAGGAAGTCAGACAAGTCAGGACAGAAGGAGTAGTAGGGATATAAAGCAGAGGATAGCACAGAGTTGTGTCGCCTTCAATAAAAAGAAGTCACTTCTATGCTCGCGAACGATTAATTTAGAAATTCGAAAAAGATTGTTAAAGATGTATGTTTGGAGCGCGGCGCTGTACGGGTGCGAAACATGGACGGAGGGCGCGGTGAAAAAGAAAAGGTTAGAAACGTTCGAAATGTGGTGTTACAGGCGAATGATGAGGATACCGTTGATAGAGAAGGTTAGAAATGAAGAGGTATTGGTGAAAGAATAGGAGAACAGAGGACCCTATGAAAGTCAATAAGAAATAGACGAGATAGGTTGGTAGGACACCTTCTCAGGCATGAAGGTCTAGTCAGAGACATATTAGAGGCGCAAACAGGAGTTTGGAGGGGTAGAGGTAGACCTAGATTAGATTACTGTTCGCAAATAGTTAAGGATGTGGGTTATCCTAGTTATAAGGAAATGCGAAGATTAGCTCAGGATAGGAAAGAATGGAGATGCGTGTCCAATCAGTCTTAGGACTGATGAATGATGATTAGTTCGACGAATCTGTGAGCTAATAAGTACGTTTTTGCGGTTTGATTTGAAGTAATTTATAGTGGATAAAATTTTAATGAATTTTAAACAGTTCTTTTTATAATCTCCGTTTATAGTCAGGCTTAAGTTCGTAAAGAATTCATCAATCAATATATAAATCACACATGACAATAACAACATCTTAATCCTAGCAGCAAGCGTTTTTCTGATGAAAAGTTTAACTCCTTTTTATAAATAAATTTTAGTCTTTTAAAAAGTTCGTCGTCACAAGTGAACACACGTAGTGTGGAACTCAACTGGACTTCCTATCACAACTATGACGTGGTAAGTAATTTTTGTTCTAATTTTGGTCTATTTCAAAAAACAAAAAACAAGTGAATGCAACTATTGTACTAATACCAAAAACTTAATCAGATTTATAGCTGGTTTGATTCCCTGGCTGAACTTTATCCCGAGAATGTGACCACATTCGTTGCCGGCTACTCATATCTTGGGGCCGAAATTAAAGGGATTAGAATACAATTGAGAGAAAATGCCACAAGGGTAGCCGTTATAGACGGAGGTAAAGAATTAGAATCAATCCTTCTCAGCTCAACAATGACTGAAATTTCAATCAATTTTTTTTTTAAGGAATTCACGCGAGAGAATGGATTTCTATTGCTACTGCAACTTATATTGCTAATCAGTTTTTGACCACCACGAATTCAACGATCAGAGCTGCCGCTGAAGAGGTAATCTGGTATATTTTACCAGTATTGAACCCAGATGGCTATAACTATACTATATACGTGGTAAGATATAATATTGTTTCCGCTGATATACTTCGTTTACTTTCTCTAGCGATGTGCCCCTTCCAATGTATTGGATGCGCGCTGGCAAAATCGTAGACAGGGAGAAAAAAGCTCATTATACTCCCGACTCTTGTTCTTTAAACATACTTTTTCATACAGTACCTGCCAAAAGTTTTGTTCAATCATGAATAGTAGTGCGAGTCGAAAACAAGGGTTAAAGCCTTTAATATGTCTTCAAAAATAAACAAACATCTCGTTGATATTTTCAGTAGTAAATGGTACCAATAACAGCACATTTGAGCAATGCAATTATAGTGGATAAAATGGTCAGTTTTTCCGTGCAGTACTGTACAGATTATACGCTCCTCACCGGTTAAGAGAGTTGTCTCCTTCCTTTTCTGGCCTAGTGCTGTTCTTTTATACTTTGCGCCGGTCAAACTAAAGGTCATATCGCTAGAGAAACTAAATGAATTATAATAATTTAGTAAAGGAAGACCCGTATGGCAATTGTTTGACGATAATGTTTTTTGTGGAATTATACATATATGTACTAGTTTTTCCCTGTGGTTTCTCACACAGAAATTAGTATGTTACTCCATAAAACCTTTTTCCAAATTTCCAGATTTTCCCGTGTATTTTTCAAAACTTTTGGTTTACACAAACCTTGTTCGTCAATTACAAATTCAACAAAACATAAATCAGTCAAATCGGTTGAGTCCTGTTCAAGTGATTCTCCGTCATACATTTGGCAATTCTCTAGAATTGTTAGCTGGGAACAGTTACAGATACAGACAGTATCCTCATCATTCGCCTGTAACACCATATTTCGAACGCTTCTAACACTTTCCTTTCTACTCTTTCCATCCTGAATTATCTTTCGCCTTTCACTCACAATTCTAACATGTATTGATTTTATTGTATCGCACGTATTTTAGGATAGAATGCATAGGAAAAATATGCAAGTAAACGAATCAGTCGATTGTTCTGGATATTCCGGGGGTAGTGGCATTGGGGTAGATTTAAACCGTAATTTCGCATTTTACTGGATGGCGAACGGCGGTGCGAGCAGCTATCCCTGCTCTGTACAGTATGCAGGCCCGTATCCATTCAGCGCACCCGAATCCCAGGCTTTCAGATCCTTCATAGGAGGCATATCCGAAAATTTAGATTTGTACTTAACTCTGCATTCTTATTCTCAACTAATACTTTTCCCGTATGGACACACGACGCAACCCTTGGACAACTATTACGAACAGGTCAGTATTTAGAACGAATTTATAACGAAACAGTACGTGGCATAAAACAATTCGAAGTGGTCTGTATTCTGTCGAAACTGCCAGGCGCGGATCGCGATTTCGATCTTTTTGGATCTCATCAGCGCGTCGCAGGCAGCTCCAACACAACACAGACCAACTTTTACCTGCTGCGTTAACAGCGCGTTTTAGAAAATACGCCTGCGACGCGCTGATGAGATCCAAAAAGATCGAAATCGCGATCCGCGTCTGGCAGTTTCGACAGAATACAGACCACTTCGAATTGTTTTATTCGTTTATGGTAACGTGCCTACCACGTTGAGGTGAGCTACGCCGGGATTCGTTTCAGCAAGTAGATATCCATATATTTAAATGGGCCTTGTTGAAGCATACGTAATCCTAAAATGTAGCACTGTACTATAGATGGCGTTTACAGCGCCATTTGTCGTATTTTCTAGTACGTGGCATATAAAAAATTATAAAATTCGGAATCACAAAATAACTACGTATTCTTTTTAAATTTAATTAAATAACAAATCAATCAATATTTTAGTACACAATTGGAAGAATGGCAGCGGACGCTATAGAATCCAATTCTGGAAGGAAATACATTGTGGGAAACAGCGCTGAAGCAATTTGTAAGTAAACGATTTATATATTAAGCGATACCGATTTTAGCGTTGTTTTCGTAAAATTAAATTTATTTATTTTCAGATATTTCGACGGGGGGTAGTGACGACTGGGTGAAGGGTACGTTTGGGACTAGACTTGTGTACACTTACGAAGTTAGAGATACTGGAACTTATGGATTTTTATTACCCCCCGATCAAATAATCGATACAGCTGAAGAAGTTTTGGCTTCAATCCCCGTACTTGTACAGCAATTAATAAGATTAGACACTTGGTCTACCACTAGGCCAATTAGTTCGTCTGCAAACAATCCGAGCCTAAATCTTCTTCTACTTCTTTCTATTGTTATAAGTGCTGTGTTGTACATAAAATTATAATTTTATTTTCCGTTAAGTATCCTTGTAGATAAGATAACAAATATAATAATTCACGTGTAACCACCTTAATTAATTCTTTATTAATTAACCCTAATCTGTCTTCATCTATCAGACACTTTTCTCTTATCATGTCTATATTATTAAGTTCGTGTTTCGGAATGATCTTACAAAAGACTTATCATAAAACTTTCAATAAACTTCGTTTTACGATAAGAGATCTATGTACTTTGAAAACTAATCTGCATTAATATTATAAAGAGGTAAAGTATGCATGTTTCCGAAACTAGTCTTCCTATTTCAAAAATTCTTTCACCAATACTTAGAATGGACCTTCAGGCAGCACATATGCTGTATGTACAGCCTACTTTAAAGCATTTCTACTAAGGGCTTTAGTATACATATTATTAAAACTGCAAATATAATTAGTGTCAATAAAAATAATAAAAACTTTTATTGCCCACGCCGTATTAACGTTATCGTTATCAATTAATACGTTATCAGGTTACAAAGAAATAAATAAGTACAAATGTGTCTTAAATGTAGACTGTGGGGTCCCCCATACAGTGCAGCCCAACATTAGCTGCGAAAGAACATATTTAAAATGACGTCTTTTTTATACCTCGTAATAATTAATATTGTAATTCTTTGTTCTCACGCTTACGTTACTTACGACAATTACAAAGTTTACAGGGTGTACCTAGATTCCCCAGGCAAAGTGAACAGTTTTTCTAAAATTCACGAACTAATACCAAAAGTAAGCCAAAAACACTGTACGCCATAATACTTCGTTCATGTTGTCTTTACCTGCTCTAAAATTGTAATCTTAACTTAATTGAAGGTAATGCTTTCATCAGATTGGTTGGGAAAAAAAGGTTACGTTACGGTAGCTAAAGACAACACCAACGAAGTGAATATTAGTTAGGTTAGATTAAGTTGCGACTCAATAAGTCGTAAGCCCTTTTACGCCTTCATTAATTTTTATTTCGATTTCGTTTTCAATTTTTTTAGTTGGACGTGTGGAATGAAAATGTGGCAGATAAGTCGATCGATGTGATGGTACCTCCGGAGGATCAATACGAATTCACCGACTCTTTAAGTTCCTACAAAATTCAGCAAGAGGTCTTCATCAGTAATGTCGCAGAGTGAGCCAAAAAACAATTTCAATCCAAAAACAATTTAAAAACTTTAGAAGCTTTTATTTATAGTCTTCCAATATAACTAAATGTAATTGTTTATAGATTAATTGACAAATACTCTGAAGCATCCTACTCCAACCGACTTGGAGGTGAATTCAATTGGACAACGTATCAAACGTACGAACAAGTAAGGATCAATTTCGACTGCTTATTGTATGTACTTGAACGAAAACTAATACGACAATATTTAGTAACAAATAACAATAGATCCTTCATAATTACGACTAGATAAATAACAAAAATTTCACGAAAATATTTGTAGCCAATCGTACCGCACTCTTTTTTAAGTTAACGCAGAATAATGGTGAATTACCACTTATCTTATTAACAGATTGTTGGATGGTTAGAGTCCCTTGCACAGACATACCCGGATAATGTGACCACAGTGGTTTTGGGTAAATCACACTACGGGGTTGACATTGTGGGGGCGAAATTGGTATTAAATCCAAACGCTACAAGAGTCGCTATCATCGAAGGTGGTAAGTGTCTACATTGTTTATATCCGTTTGCGATCAATTATTAATTTGTTTAATTGGACAGAAAGGCTGAAATTAAAATGTCTTAGGTATTCATGCAAGAGAATGGATATCGCCTGCTACAGTGACTTACATTTTGAATTCTTTCTTAACTAGTAGCCTCAGAAGAGTTCGAAACGCCGCCGAAAGTATGATATGGTACTTCGTACCCTCAATCAACCCAGATGGTTATAACAGAACGTTCCACGAAGTTAGTGCAACCTGATTTTATAGCTTTTCGAAACAAACGACAACAACGTAATACGACTTTTATTTGTCACACGAAACATTATGCGTTGTGTTGCAAAACAGAACAGTAACAAAGCATTGCGGTGTGTTACAAAACGATAGAATAACAAAGAAACAGGGTATTGAGTTGTACTGCAAGAAACAATAAGGCAATACCCCACTGCGTTGTGTTGCAAAACAAAACAATAGCAAACTGCAAAACAGTAACCCACTGGATTGTTTTAGAAAACGATACAGTAGCAAAGAAACAAACCATTGCGTTATATTGCAGAAAACCAATAAAGCAATATCGCACTGCGTTGCGTTGCAAAACAAAACAATAACAATGTATTGCTATGTGCTGCAAAAAAATTAACCAACAACGCACTGCGTTGCGTTACAAAACAAAACAGTAGGTAGCAAAGCATTGCGTTGTGTTCCAAAACAATGAAGCAATAATACTCTGGGATGTATTGCAACACAATAAAGTATTGTATTGTGACGCAATAAAGCAACAATATACTGTGTTGTGTTGTAAATGCATTGCACTGTCATACGTTGCACTGATTTTGTTACAACTCATGTAGTTCCCAGTGTTGTTCAAATAACTAAACAAAAGTATATGATTTCTTTAGGATAGATTGCATAGAAAAAACGTGCAAGTGGTTAACGGTACTAACTGTAGTTATTTCGTGGGTGGAAATGGTATTGGAACCGATTTGAACAGAAATTTTAATTACACGTGGATGGAAGCGGGTGGAGCTAGTTCGCGTCCCTGTAGTTCTTCCTATGCAGGGCCAGAACCCTTCAGTGCCCCCGAAACAAGGGCCATGAAAGCTTTAGTAGAGCAAGTATCAGACAGTTTAGACCTTTACATTTGCTTTCATTCTTTCTCTCAACTAGTTCTTTTTCCCTACGGTCACACCACCGACCCAATTGATAATTATTACGAACAGGTAACGTAAAATTGATTAGACATTTCTAAAACGTTTGATGAATTTGAAAACAATGGACCTCGGACATATTAATCAAGTCTAAAAATGTTTTTAGTATGCGATTGCTAGAATGGCTGCAGACGAACTTGAAGCTTACAATGGTACTAAATATGTTGTTGGAAATATAGCTGAAGCAATTTGTAAGTAGTTGTTTTCGATCAAAAGCATTTTTAATTAATTATGAAAAGTACGTGATTATCAAAAGTCTCTCGTGAAATAAAAGTAAAACAAAAATACTGATATGCAAGGAATATTTTAGACGTTTCAACTGGTAGCAGTCTCGATTGGGTAAAAGGAACGTATGGAACAAGACTGACCTACGGTTTGGAATTAAGGGACCAAGGACAATATGGTTTTCTTCTACCACCCGATCAAATAATAGACACTGGAGAAGAAACTTTGAACGCTGTTGTGGTATTAGTTGAGCAATTGTTTCGACTCGACCTGTTAACTTTTACGCGTCCTTCTGGTCAAGGCAGCTTTACCCAATTTTTACCACACACCCTATTTTTATCAGTTTTTATTATTAAATTTTTATAAGTAATCCAATCGACCACTCAAATACGTATATTCCAAATTTTTTACGTGCAATGTAACATATAGACACATGTGTATTTTAATAAAAAGACTTCCAATACTTGGGTTTATTTTTGTTCTTACGTATGGAGCCAACCGTACAATTGGTACTGTTGCTTCCGATATTAAAAACAACTGAACATTAAAAGATTAAAACAAAAAACATTTTCATCTGTCACTCGAACAATAATACTTTGTGTTTTAAAACAATAAAACAGTAGGCACTGCGTTGTGTTACAAAACAAAACAGTAACAAAGCATTGCGGNCAATCAATATTTTAGTACACAATTGGAAGAATGGCAGCGGACGCTATAGAATCCAATTCTGGAAGGAAATACATTGTGGGAAACAGCGCTGAAGCAATTTGTAAGTAAACGATTTATATATTAAGCGATACCGATTTTAGCGTTGTTTTCGTAAAATTAAATTTATTTATTTTCAGATATTTCGACGGGGGGTAGTGACGACTGGGTGAAAGGTACGTTTGGGACTAGACTTGTGTACACTTACGAAGTTAGAGATACTGGAACTTATGGATTTTTATTACCCCCCGATCAAATAATCGATACAGCTGAATAAAATTAAATTTATTTATTTTCAGATATTTCGCCGGGGGGTAGTGGCGACTGGGTGAAAGGTACGTTTGGGACTAGACTTGTGTACACTTACGAAGTTAGAAGTAATGGATTTTTATCGATCAAATAATCGATACAGCTGAAGAAAATTTGAGAAAGATTAAACTCTTGGTCTACTACTAGACCAATAAGTTCGTCTACAACAACACTTCAAGCCAAACCTACTTCTATTTCTTTCTATTATTATAAGTATTGTGTTGTACATAAAATTATAATTTTATTTTCCGTTATGTATGTATATAGATAATACAATAAATACAATAATTCACGTGTAACGACGTTAATTAATTCTTTATTAATTAACCCTAATTTATCTTCAACTATCAGACACTTTTTCTTTTATCATGTCTATTTTATTAAATTATTGTTTTAGAAAAATCTCACAAAAGACTTATAAAACCATCAATAAAATTCGTTTTACGATAAGAGATCTAAGTACTTTGAAAACTTATGTGCAGTAATTTTATAAAGACGTAAAGGATACACGTTTCCGAAACTCTTCCTATTTCAAAAATTCATTCACCAATACTTAGAATGTACCTTCAGGCAGGACATAGCTTGTATATATAACCTACAGTTTGAATCATTTCTATTAAAGGCTATAGAAAACATATTATTAAAACGAAAACATAAAAATTGTACACAATTTTTGATAGGACTGTTATTACAAATATAACTAATACCATCAAAAAAAATAATTTTTTTATTGCCCACGCGCTTTTAACGTTATCATTATCAATTACTACGTTGACAGGTGAAAAAGAAATAAATAAGTACAAATGTGCCTTAAATGTAGAGTGTCGGGTCCGTCTACCAGTGTAGCTCGACCGTAGCTGCGAAAGAACATATTTAAAATGACGTCTTTTTTACACCTCGTAATAATTAATTTTGTAGTTATTTGTTCATCTCGCGCTTACGTTACTTACGACAATTACAAAGTTTACAGGGTGTATCTAGATTCCCCAGGCAAAGTGAACAGGTTTTCTAAAATTCACAAACTGATACCAAATGTAAGTCAAAAACACCTGTACGTCATAATACTTCGTTCGTGTTGTCTTTACGTGCTCTAAAATTACAATCTTAACTTAATTAAAGTTAATGCTTTCGTCAGATTGGTTGGGAAAACAAGGTTACGTTACGGTAGCTAAGGACAACACCAACGAAGTGAATATTGGTTAGGTTGGATTAAGTTGCGACTCAATAAGTCGTAAGTCCTTTTACGCCTTCATCAATTTTTATTTCGATTTCGTTTTCATTTTTTTTAGTTGGACGTGTGGAATGAGAATGTCGCAGATAAGTCGATCGATGTAATGGTACCTCCGGAGGATCAGGACGAATTCACCGACTCTTTAAGTTCCTACAGAATTCAACAAGAGGTCTTCATCAGTAATGTCGCAGAGTAAGCCAAAAACAATTTCAATCGCAAAAACAATTTAAAAACTTTAGACGCTTTAACTAATATAACTAAATGTAATTGTTTATAGATTAATTGAGAAATATTCTGAAGCATCCTACTCCAACCGACTTGGAGGTGAATTCAATTGGACATCGTATCATACATACGAACAAGTAAAGATCAATTTCGACTGCTTATTGTATGTACTTGAACGAAAACTAATGCGACAATATTTAGTAACAAATAACAATAGATCCTTTATAATTACGACGAGATGAATAATAAAAATTTTACGATGATGATGAATTACTACTTATTATATTCTTCTTATCTTATTAACAGATTGTTGGATGGTTGGAGTCCCTTACACAGACATACCCGGAAAAGGTGACCAAAGTGGTTTTGGGTAAATCGCACTACGGGGTTGACATTGTGGGGGTGAAGTTAGTATTAAATCCAAACGCTACAAGAGTCGCTATCGTCGAAGGTGGTAAGTGTCTACATTGTTTATATCCGCTTACAATCAATTATTAATTTGTTTAATTGGACAGAAAGGCTGAAATTAAAATATCTTAGGTATTCATGCAAGAGAATGGATAGCGCCTGCTACAGTGACTTACATTTTGAATGCATTTTTAACTAGTGGCCTCGAAAGAGTCCGAAACGTCGCCGAAAGTATGATATGGTACTTCGTACCCTCACTCAACCCAGATGGTTATAACAGAACGTTCCACGAAGTTAGTGCAACCTGATTTTATAGCTTTTCGAAACAAACGACAACAACGTAATACGACTTTCATTTGTAACACGAAAAATTATGCGTTGTGTTGCAAATCAATAAAACAATAGTGCACTGCGTTGTGTTGCGAAACAAAACAGTAACAAAGCATTGCGGTGTGCTGCAAAACAATAATGCACTGCGTTGTGTTACAAAACGAAACAATTACAAGAAACAGAGTATTGAGTTGTATTGCAAAAAAACAGTAGAGAAATGCATTGCGTCGTATTGTAAAAAACAATAAGGCAATGCCACACGGCGTTGTGTTGCAAAGTGATACAGTAAGAATGCATTTGAGTGAGCTGCAAAACAATAACGCACTGCTTTATATTGCAGAATACCGCACTGCGTTGTGTTGCAAAAAAATAAACCAACAAGGCACTGCGTTGCGTTACAAAACAAAACAGTTGGTAACAAAACATTGCGTTGTGTTCCAAAACAATAAAGTAATAATACATTGGGATGATAAAGTGTTGTATTGTAACACAATAAACCAACAATAAACTGTGTTGTGTTGTAAAAGCATTGCACTGTCATACATTGCATTGATTTTGTTATAACTCGTATTGCTTCTAGTGTTGTTCAAATAACTAAACAAAAGTATGTGATTCCTTTAGGATAGATTGCATAGAAAAAACCTGCAAGTGGTTAACGGTAGTAACTGTAGTTATTTTACGGGTGGAAATGGTATTGGAACCGATTTGAATAGAAATTTTGATTACATGTGGATAGAAGCGGATGGAGAAAGTCCATGTAGTGTGGCCTATGCGGGTCCCGAACCCTTCAGTGCTCCCGAAACAAGGGCTATGAAAGCTTTAGTAGAGCAAGTATCAGACAGTTTAGATCTCTACATTTGCTTCCATTCTTTCGGTCAACTAGTTCTTTTCCCGTACGGTCACACCACCGACCCAGTTGATAATTATTACGAACAGGTAACGTAAAATTGATTAGACATTTCCAAAACGTTTGATGAATTTGAAAACAATTTGACCTCGGACATATTAATCAAGTCTAAAAATGTTTTTAGTACGCGATTGCTAGAATGGCTGCAGACGAACTAGAAGCTTACAATGGTACTGAATATTTTGTTGGAAATATAGCTGAAATAATTTGTAAGTAGATATTTTCTATCAAAAACAGTTCTTAATTAATTATGAGAAATACGTAATTAACAAAAGACCTCTCTTGAAATAAGGGTATTATAAGAATAGTTTAACAAAGGAATCTCCGGCTCATCTAACTAAAACCACCCAAAATTTTGGTTACTTTCCGGTAAATCACGTAGACATACATATTGTAATGTTTAAATACTCTTTTGCTTCCTTTCGAGAACCTTCTCGAACCGTCCGGAAAAGTTTTTTTTTATTTGAACTGTTTACCTGCTTTCCCAGAACGCAGGTACGACACACACGTTTACAAATACGGCGCACATGAAGAATGGCGCCCGCGGCTAGTCGGCGAATCGATAAGCCGTTCACGCACACGTGTGCCCGATCGCACACAAACACGCTCGCGCTCGCCACAATATATACAACCGAATATTTTAGACGTTGCAACCGGTGGCAGTCTCGATTGGGTGAAAGCAACGCATGGGACAAGATTGACTTACGGTTTCGAACTGAGGGACCAAGGACAATATGGTTTTCTTCTACCACCCGATCAAATTATAGACACTGGAGAAGAAACTTTGAACGCTGTTATGGTATTAGTTGAGCAATTGTTTCGACTGGACTTGTTAACTTTTACACATCCTTCTGGTCAAGGCAGCTTTACATAATTTTTACCACATACCCTATTTTTATCAGTTTCTATGACCACTCAAATACGTATATTCCAAATTTTTTACGTGCAATGTAACATATAGACACATGTGTATTTTAATAAAAAGACTTCCAATACTTGGGTTTATTTTTGTTCTCACATATAGAACCAACCGTACAATTGGTACAGTCGTTGCCAACATTAAAAGAAGATTTCAACTTTTCATTGTGGAAATCTACACATGTTTACTTACAATCCAGTGTAAATAAATTGGGACTGCCAATGATCTTCAGCTTCAATTCTTGAAAACCTCTTCCGCACCCAACATTTTTATTTCTTGATAACTATGCTGAAACCCTGAAAAGTAAACGCTAGAAAAGGGAAAATTCTAAACATCGTAAAATATTTTATTCGTACATGTGTTTAAGTTGTTAGCCCGCGTTGGTTGAGGCCCTCCACCACCCTCGCATATTCCTGGACTGCTCTGCGGTCCTCAACATCTTCGAAGCGCAAAATCCTAATTATCAAAGAACCGAATAGTCTCATTAATCTTGGAAACCGGTAATTGATTGAGACTTTTCCAGAACACATTGATGCTTCGGCCAAAACATCCCCAATTTGCAATCAGAAAAACTAAAACAGTCTAAAAAGTGAAATGTTCAATCTGCTTTACATGTTGCTGATCCTTGAAAATCCAGCGAAATCACCCCCCCAATCCCCAACCCACCATTTACTTGATACCTCCCCCCATCCCGCAGTTCCATATTGAGGATTACGCGCCCCCCATGAAAAGAGAAACCCACTAACAGACTAAGGATAGTCGGTTTAGGTTTCCATGCTATGTAAAATACGCGGTAATCGTTGATTAAATGTAGGACGTAGATTACGATTACATGTCGCAGAATGTAAGTACCCTTGAAGCCATTGTTAATATACAATCGGGGGGACTGTTGTCCAAACATACAACCAACCTGTAACGAATCGAGATATGGGACAACAGAACCACGAC